ACTAAATAGAAGATTAGTGATTTTTTCCTTTTGTTATTGTAATTGCTGTCCCTATATAACCCCCTTGAGGATTCAAACTGCTTTCTAAACAATAGCTTTTGTGATTAGACCGGTCTTCATCAAAAAGCCAGTTGTTAATTAACAGTCAGGAGCTTTTTACTGGTAAATGTAGAAATATTTTGAGTTTGTTTTTCAAGTGGAAGAAAAATTTAATTGGAAATAGTAAAATCCTGGATTATAAATCAAAAAGCAGGCAGGGTATGTTTTTCTTATTTTTCAGTAGTGTTAATAATCGTTAATTGGCTACCCCATTGATAATTGTATGGCCTTACAATCTTCAATGCTTGTCAGTAATTTGCACTTTGTTGAATGTAAACAATTCACCCTCTTTGGACGTCAAATTTACATACCACCCTTTTGCAGCCCTGCATAACAAGATCTTGAATGAGGCCTCTTTGTTTATAATTACATCCAGTTTGTATGATAACTTGACATTTTCTGCCCCAGAAAATTCTTAATATGACAGTTATAATTTTTTTTTTGCTTTTGCCCTGATATTTGTACAATGAAAAGCAACAAAACACCTTTGCATTCCAGCCAAAACTCACCAGTTCCTATGGCACACAAAGTTATAAATTATGCATGCAGTTGTGTTTGGTTTATGTATGTTACAAGTTGATTGATAACCTCTCAACATTTGCAGCACAACAAGAGTAAATTGGTTTAAAGCGACTACTTGTTTCAGTGTCCTTTTTCATATTGTTTTTCCCTTTGCTTGTTAAATAACCAAGGAGTAGCAAGTTTTCCTCTTAGAGAGAGAAAATTAATTATATAATAAATTGTATTTTTCCATGCAAATTTTTTACAGTAGTCGATCAATAAAATTTTACATTATTAAGAACATTTTTGTGTTCAATAAAAGACGTTGTTTGAATTTTGTGGGCTCCAGTAGAAGCTAGGCCGTGATACATTTTTGACATTATAATAATAATAATAGTAATATTAATAATTCGAGGTAATTTATGCAAGACTGGAGGCTTGGACCTCAAACACAGCTGGCTTAGTATTATTTAAAACAATAGGCCATGCCCATATATGGAGTCCTCTCTAGTTCTACCTTGATATATTATCCTGAAAGCAAAATATTCAAGCAAAAATAGGTCCAGAATGGGTTTTATAGGAATTACTCGACTCCATCCTTTGTAGAACTGTAGAAGGGCAATGTGAAAGCAAAATGTTCAATGGAAAATCTTGTAGGATTTGTCATGGGAGTGAAAAACAACTTCAACACCTGGTCCGATGCTAATACAAGAATACAGAAATATGGGAACTGTGGGTTCAAAAAAGCAGTCCTCAACATGGTATTATCACTTATATTCTTCTGTTGCTCTATCATTACTTTTCCTTTCTGATTGTTCTGTAGTTAGAAGATTTATTTTATCTGAAAGATGTGTCCATTCAAATAGGAATAACCTGCCTAATGCAGTGAAATTTTTTTGAAACCTCAACGAATTGTGTGTGTATTTAGATGAATGTTCCTTACTAAACATGGCTGACAATCCAGAGAAATTGTGTGTTACCTCCAGTGGGGTTGTAATTTCACTAGGTCCAATTCCTCTAATTAGATACTGAAGCATTTTATCCCAAGACTGGTGGTATCACTAAATCAAAGTATTCTGTGCCTAAAACATTGGTAGTATTTCTTGAGAAATAGGTTATGTGCAATTATAACAGTTAAATTGAATCTGTTGTGAGTGTTGCCTTGTGAGATGAAGTTATCAAGGCCAACCACAAGACTAAAAAGCTTCTTGAGTATTCTCCAAACCTTTTGCTGTAAAGCAGAGTGATTTATGCTTAAAATCTCTGTGGATGTTGAAGATAGATCAGTGTGACAAGAAAATTTCATGTTGCAAGTACATCTACATAATTATGTAAAATACGTTGTGAAAACCTCGGATCATCTATATACCAGTATTGCATGCTAGCTTGGCCCAAAACCTTTTGCTTGTGATAATTTTTATATGGATTTACTCTAGCAGTGTTTTTGAACTGTGATTGTTTCGCCTCACCGAACACAGTGAAAAATAGCAATTGCTGTTGCTTGAAAAACGGCCTTGACCATGATTTCTGTTTTTAGAATTTGCATTTTGCAACAAGATTCATCTTTGCTGGGTTTAGTGTGATGTTAGTGAAAGCTCTTTGCCCAGTTTTGACAATGTCTTCTTTTTGTACATTGCAATGGGTTCTTATTTCAATTTGTTATTTGGTGTGCTACAGACTTTATACAGCACTGTTTACTGTAAATGAACATTCAGAAGGCTCTGTAGAGGTCATACCTATTGTCTGAAATTTAATACCAAAATATGAAAAGTATTTCATCTGGAAACTGAGAGAGTATTCTGAAAATGTTTTGTCAAAATCTTGCTCAGTGGGAAGAAAGATGTGATGTTAGTAACAACATTAGATCCATTTATATGCTTGTGCATAGTAATTTTATTTTCCAATTGATTTATCCACCTTTCTACACCAAGACTTTAAACCATTTAAAATCAGTAACAATGATTGATGAAGCAGTGTGATAAAGCTTGGCTCAAGTTTGTAATCAAGCATTTTATCCACAGTGTTAGTAATAACTTTCTATAGATTTTATTTTTTTTTTCACTGCTAAGACATACATGTATAGATCTGTTGGTTCATGTTGTGTGTTGAGAAACACTCAAATTTTCTTCATTGTTTCATGAGCAATAATATTTTCTGGTAGATTTATCATTTCATACACATACGTATGCAATAGTGTTTATTTTAGTAATGTTAAAAAATAAGTCACCAGAAATGCTTGCTTTTTGGACATAACCTTAAGTTGTGACTGCCTTGATTCTGCTTGTGAGATTGATGATTCAGCCCTAAATATAAATGTGGATTTCGTAACATCTGATGTAATTTGTCATAAGCTTTACATCAGTACTTTTCACATCCTGTTTTAGAAACATTTGCATTTTACTGTTGCATCAAGTTTCAAATTTGAGATGATCAATGACTTTTATCTAATTTTCTACCATTTTCAACAGCTGTACACATGCTCATGCCTTTACAAATGTATGTTATGTTATGTTATGCAGTCTAGACTACTCCACCTATTTCAAGCATTAACTGTAAACTTTCAAGTTACTGTACACATCTGGTTTTAGTGAACAGCTCCTGCCTTATATTGTTCAAATGTGAATCAAATTTATGCAATCCTTTCTCATGCCTTGATATTTTGTGAAGGATTAAGATAAGGGCAATATTCAAATGTACACAAAGGACATGTTTAGTTTTCTTTTTGTTAAACCCTGATTTGAACAGGTTCATGTATAAAATGCATTTGTAACTGTTGATAGCAAAGAAGGTGTTTCCACAGGGTAATATTTTACTAGCAACATTTAATATTATACTGGTCAAATTATACTATTTATGCATGAGTACAGGAAGCTTAGTATGTATTTTGTGATCAAAGCATTTCTTCTTTGCAATAAATATATTTTAGGCTGTATACATTACATGTAAAATACACTAAATTTACAAGTGTTCTACTTCTAATATACATGCACATGCATGTATTTGCCACAGTACATGTAAGTCCAATGCAGTGAAACTACGGGTAAGCTCAAGGAAGTCTTTATTTAACAGGAAATATTAATTATTTGTCAGGTTAATATCAGCGCCTTTTTTTTCACGATGTGAATTGTATACTCAGCAGATTACAGAATGCAAATAGAAGTGAACTTACAGGCACATGTGTATATGTTCACTGTGTTTGGTAAATTGCTTGTTACAAATACCAAGTATCAGGTATCAAATAATTTTGTATGATCAGGGCCAAGCTATCCTTATTACCTGCAATAACACCTGGCAGTCTACACTGTATTTGTAGTTAGGTGTTAAAAATTATTCTGTTCTCTTTCATTTCTGTAGCATTTTGTGGGGTGCATTTTATGTACTTTAACTGATATGGACCCTGCAAACAAGTGAAAATTAAACTGAATTAATGCACATTTGAAATGTGGGTTGCAGTCTATGCAAATTCTAGGAGGTCATGAATGGTGTGTGCTTTACCAAATTGTTTCAGGCCACAGAATCTCAACATTTAGATTCAAGTCTCTCTGCTGTGGCGTGGTCAATCATGATAATAAAGGTTGCAGTCTCAATCAGTGAGAAAAAAATTTACAAATGGAACCTTTAAATCTGAGAAGGAGGGGCCTGTGTCGTGGCAATTTTTTTTTACACTGCATCGTCTTGGAATTTTGAGAATCAGAGAAAATAGAGAGTTATGATGGTAGCTTACAAGCCTTTGATTGTATTTTTATTTATTATACAGTTGACTTCTTCAGAATTTGCACACATCTTTTATACATAACTGCAGTCTATGCTTTTTTCCTTGCTCTGCGAACACTTCCTTTGTAGGAAACACAACTTGGCTCTAACAGTGGATACCTATTAAAGATTAAGTGTTGCTATTAGTATACTGGTTATACATGTAATGATATGTGCATGCTATGATCAAAATTTGTTTTTATTACGTAACTTCTCAAAACAGTCATTGATTTTTGTTCTCTTTTGTCTCATGATATTTCTTATTGTCATCTAAAACTGGTTTTATAAAAAAGTTTCACTAAAACCAAAACACAAATTTAAAGCACAATAATTATAAAACATGAAAGTGGACATTGTAACTAAAAGTATGTGACTATGTAAAAGAAATCTCAAATTTATTTTTAAGGGGCGTAAATTTAGCATAAATTTTTTAAGTTTGCCATCTTTAATTCATGTTAAATCTTCTCCATCCTGTACCATCTTTGTTCCTGTATAGTTTATCACTACCTGTTTAGTGTTTCTCTATATTAGCAACCTGCTATTTTCAGGTTTCCCTCAATTTAAGGTTATTTTATATGTGGCCAAAGTAGCTCTAAACTGTTGTGACTGAGCTCCTTTAATAGTCATGGTTTGTTTTTGTGTGACAGCTTTCCAAGGAAACGTGAGCGAACAAAGTTTTCATCTCAAGGAGAAGACTCTGTTGAGCGATCCGATGGAGACAGGCTCACCCTTCCAGTTCCCACACAGCGACGAGAGTCATTCCTTTACAAATCAGACAGTGAATTTGAATTGGCATCCAAATGTGTCACGTCAAGGCATCATTCTTTCAGTGAGGGGTGAGTAGATATCTTTGTCTCTACAAGTTACCTGTCCTTAGGCTCCTAGAAGCTGTCAGATTCAAAATTCAGTTATTTTTTAATTAAATTGTACTTACGAGTATGCCAACATTTCATATGGGAATCCTTGAATTGATTACATGTACTGTACATGTAGTTTTCTTCACTGATACGTTACTTACAACAAATTTCAAAGGATTTAAGACAAAAAAGTGTCCAAAATTAAATCCATCCAAAATTTTTAGGTGTCCAAAATTTTAAGCATCCAAAGTTAATTTATAGTACAACTTTTAAATAGCTCCAAAGCCACTAGTTTCCTTTGTGGAGCGAACTCTAATTGAAACACTGCTTGAGACACATAACAGCTTGATAGAATTTTTCTTACTTTCCCATCAATGTACATGTAAATGTATCTGTAAAACCTTGAGGGTGCTGTAAAACCGTCATTTTCACAGATGTTGTTTCAGTCTAAAATGTGTTTTGTAGGCGTAAATTTTTTTGCGAGTAATGTAAGTGTACACTGTAGAGTATGGTTGCTGATGTGTTGCTTTTGAAAGGAAAATTAATTATTATTCTTGATTTTTTTGTTAAGAATGCACATAATATGGGTTTTGGACTGTTAACCATTAGAATTGTCTTCTAAAACAGGCAGACAACTTGCTCTTTCATTGTATGAGTTAGCTAACAACTTTCTTTGCACGCTGGTTATTACAGTATGTTAACATCGTACTGATACTGATACTTCCATTCCTCAGAGCTGCCAGGTTCAGTTCCTCACAAGAAAACCTTACACTGTAGGGTGGCTTCATTAAATTGTGTTACATTCTAACCTTGATATAATAAGCTTAATATTAACAAAAAGGAGATATCTATGTTTCCATCTAACAGTTTAATTTTGTTTTGTTTATGTAAAAACCACAAAGCAAAAAAATTCACATTGATACAACATGTTAAAATATCTAATAACACCTTTATTATGCTATCTTTTTGTTTCTTGAAATATAGATTTTGAAATATCTTTTGCATTAATTGTTACAGTGTGTGGTGTTAAATGTTGCGTTCAAAAGAATAATAATTATTAATAACGTGTATCTTTTGCTCTTCAGAACCCGAGTAGAAGAGTTAGTCACTCCTTTTGCTCAGGTTTGTCTTTCTTTTCTTTTTGAAATTGTGATATTAATTAGCTAAAAGTCAATGGAAACATTTTGTGAAGGGAGGGTTATTTTTCATGCTTTGTAAAAGGCTGAAAAACAGAGAGCACTTTATGAATGTGCTTGGATTTGAGTGGTGACACACTTGGGTTTTATACAGCAAAATGAAGAGTAGAACATGAAAGTGGGTAACCGAAACCACTGACCCCCGATCTGCGGACCTCACACTGTAGACTGGTTCCACGGACTGCCCTACGGACCATTCCAGTGACTACCCCTACGAATCCCCTATGTGGACCACCACAAAAATACATTTAGCATAAAAATGATAAGTAAAGATTTCAATTATGGGTCATCTAATAGATCACTTATGTCAGTGAAATTGTATTTCTCTCTTTCTCCAGTAAAGAAAACAAAAAACAAAAAAGTGTTTGAAAGACAATGGGTTCATGAGAGATTGATGAAGCATCTTGCTCATCAGCTTTAACAGCACTTCTTGTTTGCAAGGAAAACATGGAACCTAATGAAAAAGACTCCTGTAGGACATGATGTTCAGAAAAGTTGACCAACCCCCTCAAAAATGTAATGGTTTATCCTCTACGGAAATATTGTTGTTATAAACAGTTTACATGAAATTTGTGTTCTACATGTATCTTAATGGTATGCTTGTCTTGTTTCTTTTCAGATTCTCTCAAGTTTGAGAAATGTTAGAAACAATTTTATGTCACTGACCAATGCTAAAAAAGAAAAGTAAGTTTTATGTCGATGTTTTAAGAAAGCCATCAGTAATGGTGTATCTAAGTTTGTCATTTGCAATCTGTATCAATCATTGTGATCTGTGCTTGTTGTTGTTTCGCTGTTACCCCTTTGGTGTTTCAATAGTCCGGGCACATGCAGGAGTTTCATTAATGGGCAAGGGCAACTGGTTTTCACAGGCAGGCAAAACGTTTTGAACCGAACTTCTTAACTCTAGGAAAAACTTTCGTCTAGATGGTCAAACCAGGCGGGCAAAATCGTCATCACAGCCAGTCAATTTGCTCAGTTCCTGGCCCTTAATGGAACCCCTGACATATTAGTAAATTAGGCTGTATATAATTTTTTGTTGATGATTAAGGATTGAATCAAGTTGTTCAAGTGTAGAGTGCCTCACTTACACTGTACATAAGGCTTGTACTATACTTAAAATTAAGAGAGGCATAGCGGCCTTATGGTTAGTGTGCTTGTCTCTGGATCTAGCTGTCCGGGTTTGAGCCCTGGCTGGGGACATTGCGTTGTGTTCTCAGGCAAGACTCTTAACCCTCGCAGTGCCCCTCCCCACCCAGGTGTTTAAATGGTTACTGGTAAACTTAATCTTGGGAGTAACCCTGCGATGGACTAGCATCCCATCCAGGGGAGGGTTGGAATATTCTTAGTCGCTTCATGCTACTGAAACTGGGACAAGTTCAGGCCTGATGGGCCACTTGGCTCGTATGCAGACTTAACTTATACCTTAAATTTCTATGATGAATTCATGAATAAATCTTTGAATGAATTCTCGAATAACTTTCTGAATCAAATTAAGAATACTATTGTTTGTCTTCATTTCAGAAGGAGAGGATCTGTAGGGTCGCACATTCTACGAAACAACAATTTAGCACAAGATACGCTAAATGGTTCTGGAATGTCATCAGGTATTGACAGTACAAGCTCATTTCATAACAATCTGTTCTGTTCATTCACGTGTTTAAGTATTGAGGGGGTGATGGTGGGTGCATGGAAGATAACATAAATGAAAACAACATAATTTATGTCTCCAAAAAATATCCCCAAAACATTGATATCCCCAGACCCAAATATGAAATGTGCTTGTAACAAAGGCACTCGTGTTCACGTTTTTTTGTTTCCCTTTTTGGAGAGAACACATTCAGATCAAATGCCTTATTTTTTTCTGACAAATCTTCACAGACCGTTTTACAAATTTTGATTCAGTGGATTAAATAACTGACTTGCATCTACTGTAGCTGACTTTGTCAGAATGTCACAGCATTTCGCATGTACCTGGTCTAATAAAGAAAAATAATTTTCCTTTTCAAGGTTCTCTTCATTTACCAAGAGATGAGGGCTATCAAAAGGTAACATGTTTACTAGATATTACGTGAACAGTTTCCTTTAGAAATTATCTCCTTTTACATTACATTCAGTATTTTTTTTTCCCTACAATATCTTGTCACTGTAAATGACATGACAGGTACTTCTACATAGTTGTAGCCTTGTGATTTCTGTGTTAGATTGTTAATCAGTTGTTATCTGGTGTTCAAGGGAGAGGGGAGAATGGGTGGGTGGGAGGGATGTAGACATCCATATGGGGATACCTCCCGTGAAGTGAAACTTCCCATTTAATTTTACACTTACACATCCCATAATTGGACGTGTACCATCCACAATATGACACTTCCACCTCAGCATTGTTGTAATCTCTGCTTAACTTAAGATTTCACTAAAAGATTTGAGCTCTGGCTGGAGTTACTGCACCATGTTCTCTCCACTGGGTGTATAAATGGGTACTAGTGAATTTAATGCTGGGGTGTAACCCTGGGATGGACTAGCAACCCATCCAGGGGGGAGTAGAGTTACTCCTAGTCACTTCATCCTACAGAAACTGGGATAAGCTGCAGCTGTATAGACCACTTGGCCGAAAACAGACTTTACTTTTGCCTTTAGCTAAAGATCTTTTTGTACATGTCTTTGTTCTATTTACTGATGTTGTTTTATGCTTCTTTTAGTTGGCTAACAATACCCTTGATGAGCTGGACTGGGTATTGTATCAACTGGAGACACTACAGACGCATACATCTGTCAGTGAAATGGCATCCAATAAATTTAAGAGATTATTAAATAGAGAACTTAAAGACTTTTCTGAGAGCAATCAGTCTGGAAATCAAGTGTCTGCCTGGGTATATAACACTTTCACAGGTAACTGCAGTATGTATAAGCTACTTTGTTCAAAATCTCAGTTCATATTAGCAACTACTATACTGCTCCTTGAATACTGACACACTGAAGTGAAATACATTGGTCTATGTGGCATATCCAAAGCTCTAGTTTTAGTGCATGTATTTGTGACTTTTTGAGATAGTCAATAATATACATGTGTTAGAGAAGAGAACATTTTACCTCTGGTTGTCATCCATGTCTAAAGAAGATTTGCACTTAGTTGTTCTAGTGACAAATTAGTTAATCTGAGATTAAGTGTGAATTTTGATATCAGTTTTGTAACTTTTTGGTTTGGTTTTCTGTTTATAGTTTTTTCTTCAAGCTTTTTCCTTGACCAGTGTCAAACTACGGAACACATACATGTACATGTAATGATTTTCATATATTAACCAAAATTGAAACCTTGATCAGCTTTGAACAAGCAAGTGTTGTGCTTACATGTATTCTTCTTCGTGTCACGTAGCTGTTGATTTTATTTGTTCTGTACATCTACAGTATCTGCTTGATTTGTTGATGTTGCAATGACAAATCTTTTTTTTTTTTGCAGACAAACAGCTGGAGGTTGACACAGTCGCTGGTACTAAATCAAAAAGAGAGGGAATTCGGGCAAGATCACGGTCCATGGTAAATGGTGTTCGAAAACTAACTAGGCTACACAGCTTTAGTGGGTCTGTACCAAGGTAGGCACGAGTCAATACTAAAATATAACAGTGTTTTCATACATGCAGTATAAAAAGAACAAAACCAAATAATAGGCTATTTTAGAGTTACCGTGTGCCTCTGTTTTAAAACCAGTCCGCATGCAAAGCCTTGCATATGACGATGGGTTTGATTTGCATGGAAACGAACCTCTAGGTGAAACATAGTTTCGTATGAATGGTTTTGCACAAAGACTCATTTTGACACAGAGGGAAAAGGCAACTCAGAAATACGTGTAGCCCATTCATATGAAGCAAGCGGAACCCTTTTTCTTAGTGTGTTCTTAAGTGGTCAATACTTTCAATTTGAGCCTCTGAAGTTGTTATGGTTTTTAANCGTAAATATCTCTAGAACAAAAAAAGATATTCTAAAAAGGGAAACGCCATTCTTCTTTACTTTGATAAGCCTTTCAAAGAAGCAGCAATTATTTTTTACCTCATAGGCACTTTAAGAATAAAATTTACCGTCATTTGTACATGATACTGGTGGACCTTTTCTGCTGGCAGTTATTTTTGTATGACTGACTCATTGACTGACTGATTGACTGACTGACTGACTGACTGACTCATTGACTGACTGACTGACTGACTGACTCATTGACTGACTGACTGACTGACTGATTGGTTGATTGACTGATTGACTGATTGATTGACTGATTGACTGATTGACTGACTGACCTCGGTTAATTGATTGATGGATTGTTTGTTTGAGTACTTGCTGAGGATTAGTTAATATTTTTTTTTATTATTTCTTTCACAGATTTGGGGTTGAAGTATCTAATGAAGCCGAATTAGCGAAAGTGAGTTTTCCTTTGCACTGAAACATATACCTGAAATGAGAGTCATAGAATTTCACTTTTCAGTAAGCAAGTCTTGAGAGTCCTGTCAAATATGGATTAATATTGAAAAATTATGGTTAATTTAATGTGTAGTTTGGACAGAACGTTACAATACATTGCAAACAGCCTCTGTAATAATTATCCCTTCGTTTCTGTCCAGTAAGGCTCTTTCATTTGATGGCCTAAGATCTCTAGGTGCCATTTTTGTTGTATTCTTGTAGTCATGAAACATCCTGGAGAAATTTGACACCTTCAAATTCTGGTGTGCTTGTTTTTTCAGGTTCTAGAAGAAATCAACAAATGGACATTTGATGTGTTTAAATTACATGACTTGACACAAGGGCATCCCTTGCTTGCAGTCACGTACACAATCCTGCAGGTTAGTGCTCGCTCTACTGCTCATTCACGAACAAATAATTAGAGCGATCACCGTAACTATGGTAATCACTCTGGCCAATCACAAATTCCAAAGACAATCCGGAGAACCAATCAAAACTCGAGGTAAATAGATGAAACCGTTTAAAAGCGCGGGAAAACGTGAGCGAGCGAGTCACACGATTCTTTTTGTTAGCCGTCGAGAAACGCCGGAAACGCGAGAGAGCCAGTCACACGATTTTTATTAGTAGCCGTCGAAAAATGCGGGAAACGTGAGCGAGCCAGTCACACGATTGGTTTTGGTCTCACTTCTGATTAGATGACAAAGTGGCGCGAGTATTTAAAGCCAAGAAGTGCAAAACTAAATCAAATGCTAGTTACTTTCGACACTCTAGTGAAAACCGATGTAGTTTGCTCACAAGTTTCATTTGTTGAGGTGTTGCTACATAGTTTTTTTTTAATGAATTTTTGTTATTATTCTAAGACATTTTCCACCTTGATTTGTTTCAGGCCAGAGATTTATTAAAAATATTCAAGATAAAACCCACTACGTTTATAAACTATATGTCATCAGTCGAGGTATGTAGATCACACTACGTATTTTAAAGATCAGTTTGCATGTGACAGAATCAGCTAATATGCGTGACCTAGCGTGACAGAAGACGATTTGGATATGCGGCAACAAGACTACCAGTGCATATACAAGCAGGGTTATTGATGTTCAGTGTTTTTATTTTACTTTACAGAATCATTATTTAAAAGATGTCCCTTTCCACAACTGTACACATGCAGCTGACGTGACGCAAACATCTCACACGCTTCTTTCAGCGCAAGCTTTTGAAGTAAGTGTGTTTGTACTGTTTGATATTTTCGTGAAGCTCACAAGCGTTTCTTGAACACAATGAAGCGCGCTCTTGTGTTCTTAGTTTCTATTTCTGCGATCGAGTTTGAGGTTTTTACTATATGACATGAACCGAGGTTTTCGCTTCGTTGATTTATCCAAACCCGAGTTCTTTTTTGCGTATTTATTAACCGAGACGAACGAGACGCAGTCGAGGTCCTTAATTACGCTGAGAATGAACGAAGCTAATTTCCGAGCCATCTTGATCGAACAACTCCGGGCCGACAAGATAGCGCCATCTTGCCCGTTTGGGTAGCCATGAAAGCGCAAGATTTCGATCATCTATCCCGCTCGCAGAGCCAGCCGTAAGATAGATGTTTCTTGGAGTAGGGACCGAGATAACGAATCAAATAAGTTGTTTATTTTATCTCTCGCTATGGAGATAAGGAAAACATTTCATGTTAGTGCGGGAAACGGTCCGTAACAGTTGGAATATACCCCCCTCCGGGGGAAGGGGGGCTTCCACGTGGAAAGGTCGGGGATTCTCGTTGAAAAATTTGAATCCTTGATTTGTACCCCTAAGCGAGACGAAGAACATCCCCGACCTTTTCTTATGGGAGTTCCCTAAGGGGAATATATTAAGAACGTAACAACGAGCTCGAGCGATTATCAATGATCCCTGTATCGGCGGACAGTCTATGATAGCAGTGCTTATCAAACTTACAACCACCCCTAGTTTCTGTTGAAGACTGAACTGAGTGTTTTCCGTTTGCCTCTCTCTGTTAGTCTGTCTTTACCGATCTTGAAGTCCTCGCCGCCATCTTGGCTAGTGCTGTCCATGATGTTGATCACCCTGGAGTCAATAATCACTTCTTAGTGGCAACAAGTAAGAATAAATTTATAGACACAAAACCCCATGTGGTGATTTCTTAAAAATCTAAACATAAAGTATAGCTCCTTCAACGATCGCTGTTCTGTCCTGTGGGTTTCAGGCCCCGTCCTCACTACGCTGGAAGAATTTGAAAACGGAGGTTTCACTCTGAAAACGCATCATTGGTTTTCGTCCACACTAAGCCGGAAGAATTTAAAAACGCAACAAACGCCGGTCATCTTGGATTTGTGTTTGAGGAAAACTCGGTCAGGGAAATCACGTGATTATCGTGACGCCATCGTCAGTTTCGATAAGCTTCGTTTTCAAAATGTTTTCCGTCCACACGAAAACGAAACACCGCCGTTTTCAAATTCCTCCGGTTTGAAGAGCGTTTTCGAAAAGCTCCGTTTTCGTGACGGATTAGTGTGGACGGTAGGCTTAACCGTAGAAATAAANNGCCGTTTTCAAATTCCTCCGGTTTGAAGAGCGTTTTCGAAAAGCTCCGTTTTCGTGACGGATTAGTGTGGACGGTAGGCTTAACCGTAGAAATAAAACTGCGTTTTCAAATTTCTCCGGCGTAGTGTAGGCGGTGCCTCAGTTGGCCGAGAAATGGTAAGATAACCTCTTGATGTTCGACTTGTTTTCCTAATTTCTTTACCGTCAACAGATTCTGAAATGGCGCTGATGTACAATGACGAATCCGTTCTTGAAAACCACCACTTGGCCGTGGCATTTCAGCTTTTACAGCACGAAGATTGTGACATACTTGAAAACCTTACGAGAAAAGAAAGGCAGACAGTGAGGAGAACGATTATTGAAATGGTGAGTTGATTCTCTTCTTGTAAAATTTAGGCGAGAAATGCAACGCGAGATCCCAACGGCGTTTACACAGCTTCGGGCAAAAACACCACATGTTAGAATTAGAGTGTGCATTACACTGATGATTTGTTTTGTTCGAAAGATCTATTCTCCTTAATGCTTGTCATACTTTCTTTTAATACATGGGGAGAATTTAGTGGTAGATCAAGATAGTGGTGAGAGACACGGTAGCCTAATGTTGGTGCGCTCGTCTTTGGATCGAGTGGTCCAAGTTCGAGCCCTGGCCGAGGACACTGTTTAGTTTTCTTAGGCAAGACACTTGACTCTCACAGTGCCTCTCTCCACCCAGGTGTATAAATGGGTACCGGCGAATTTAAAGCTGGGAAGGGGGAGGGGGGAGGGATAACCCCATGATGGACTAACTAACCATCCGGGGGAGTGAAAATTCTCCTAGTCGCTTTTTGGTACGTCAATCGGGATTAAGCGCCGACCTTGCAGACTGGCAAAATCTCCTAGTTGATGGTTTTCTCAATTCTCTTTACCTGTCTCCCTGGCATCGTATGGACATCGTAAGGAGAAACATAATATCCATCTCTGGTTTCAATGATTTTTTCAGGTACTCGCAACTGATAACGCAAAGCATATGAGTCTTCTGGCGTCTCTCAAGACCATGGTTGAAAGTAAGAAAGTAGCCGGCAGCGGAGTACTGTGTTTAGACAATGGTACCGATAGAATGCAGGTTGGTAATGCTTTTTGTAACTGGATTAGAATGGTTTAGAATCGTTTTTGGGGCACTCGCCTCTCACCAATGTGGCCCGGTTTCGATTTCTTCCCGGTGCCGTATGTGGGTTGAGTTTGTTGTTGGTTCTCGCCTTGCTCCGAGGGTTTTTCTATGGGTTCTCCGGTTTTCTTCCCTCCACAAAAATCAACACTTCAAATTCCAGTTTGACCAGACAAAGAACCCGCATGAAAAACCAGCTGAGGCTTATGTGGCTTCCTCTCTAGATATTGTGATTGTTTTTATTTGATTTATTTATTTACTATATTCATTTGCCCATTAGGTTCTTAAGTGTCTGGTGCACTGCGCTGATCTTAGTAATCCCGCCAAGCCTCTCCCGATGTACAGAAAGTGGGTGGACAGGTTAATGGAGGAATTCTTTAGACAGGTCAGTACTGCTGCATTGAGTCCACCTCTGAGTCTACAAAACTAAACAGTCCTCCATTTTTAACTCGGAAAATACCAGAACTGTTTTTCAAGTTGCAGTTGTTGGGGTGAAAATGTCACTCTTTCACTTCTTCGCTTTCTGTTTTCCCCCGATCTGATCGTGGAGGCATTTTCTTCATCACTAGCAGCGAGTTAGTACAGGTCTGGTCACTAAATCAACAAACATGATCTGTTATTAGCGTTAAAGGGTGGCTAGAGAGGTTTTGCTCGTAGAAATCAGGAGGAAACGCTTTATTCCTCTGCCACCTACCTTTCTCTCACTCCTCTCAAAAAATTCCCTTATAATTTCGCTTCCATCTTGACATTATCTCCTTCCGTCTTTCATCCATTGCCTTTCTCGCCTTCTACCCTCCGACATTCTATCGCTATACGTCAGTTCCGATACTGAGCTATTAGCTTAAAGTGAGGCAAGCACGTAACCGATCTGTTTCTATGAACATTAACTTTAACTACGATTTAACTCATGAACTGTCTTCTGTGAAACAATCAGGGTGACAGAGAGCGTGACATCGAGGGCATGGAAATCAGTCCCATGATGGACAGACATAATGCCTCTATAGAGAAGTCACAGGTATGAACCACTATTTGAATTCAGTTAAGATGATTTCTTTTCTGAAGATTTCTTGGGATCCAAAACTATAACCACCCTCGATCATCTACTGCTATTCGGAAAAACAGACCGCGCTTCCTTCCTCGAATTCACTAGGGAGTTTAAAGTAACCACAACGGCCACGCCGAGGACAACGTCGATTAAAAAATGAATTTGCATTTTGCCTACGAATCACGCGATACTCGAAAGTCGTTTACTTTGTTTATCACTGTCAACTGAAACTATCACGAAAGTAAATCTGGGACAGAGCGACAAATTTGAAATAAGAATTTAAAAAATTAGCCGTCGTGGTTCACGTTCTCCAGACAACGTACAACTTGGTCATTTCATGTTGTTGTTTTGCAGAGGACGGCAAAGAAATGTACCAAGAATTATAACGCACGTGCACAGCCATTGTATTGCTCATTAAGCCTTTACTTAGTGACGCTATCGTTGCCGATGTCCAATAAAGCGCTAGTCAGTGAATTCGTGTCGACAAAACAAAATTCTCTTTACAGTGAACCCTTTGAACAGTTTGGTTCTTCCTTTCCCTCCCCTCCCAGGTGGTGTTCATCGACTTCGTTATTCAGCCGCTCTGGGAGACCTGGGGCGACTTGGTTCATCCAGACGCCACGGAGATCCTGGAGCGGATCGAGGACAATAGGTATTGGTACAACGCGCAGGTCCCGAAACACGAACAGGAAAGAAAGCCTGGGGAACACAGCTCCTCAGGCAGAGAAAAGCGAGTCAGCTGGCAGGGTACAAGGAAAGAAGCTATTGATCAGTCGGAACCTGAAACGTCAGGTGAGGGTGTGATCAATGTTGTGTTTCTCCTAACAGGATCAGTGTTAAATCAGGCCAAAGATGAGGAGAATATCAAAGTCGATCCAACTTTATTACTGTTTCTTTGTTATCGATTCACTACATGGTATGTTTTAAGCTACATATATACATGTTCAGGAAGAGTGCGTTCTCTTTCAAGATGAGTTTTCTTTCTTTTTGTAATACAAAAAGTTTAAGAGAAAACAACAGATCTGTTAAATGGTATGGGTAAAAACTGTGAAATGTCAAGCTCAATTAAGGCTTGAATGCAATAATTCAATAAAAAAAATCGAAGCAAAAACGTTAATGATGGCGGGCGCGCGAAAACATTATTGATCCGGCCTCAGCAAGGGGGGAAGGCAGGGAACCCGCGTCGGCAAACGCGGGAAAACGTGCGTTTGGTTATGTTCGTCACCTAATTGGCCGAGAACAAATATATCTCTGCTCTGATCGGCTGGGGCACGCATCTCGTGTTTTAATGAGCCAATCAGCAATAACTTTTGTTCTTTCGCGTACAGATGATGACTGTGAGCGGAGATTGCAAAGACTGAGAGAAGTGGCCGCTATTAAGTCGGGCGATCTTGCCAAGTACGCGAGCAGTAGTCGCAGCTGCGAAGCGGACGACGAGTTTGATGACGATGAGGAAAAAGGCGGAGAGGAAGAAACGGACCCTACAGCTCAAGAAGTCAATGAAGATGATGAAAACGAAGACACGGAAGATGCTAATAAAGATTAGAGTCATCTAATGCAAGAAAAACAAGTGCTAGCGGGAATTTCATCTGAAGCGATTGAATTTCTTACAGATTTTCGGTGTGGAATTTGTTCCAAGAAGTTTGAAGTCCTCCAGTTGCTTATCAGAAGACCTAGAGAAATGAAAAGCAATGGCAAGTGGGACTGTAGACTCCAAGCTTTTGCCAGGCGATTCCGAGTTGCATAGTAATGGCCTTAAATAGACGCGCTCTTGTTATTCACGTGGTGAACACTGTTTGGACGTTCTTCGGTGTCGTCTGATCTCTGTGTAAAAGGAAACAGTCATTTGCTGCGAGCGAGGTTTACCAAGAGCTTTAACAAGAATTTTCGCTGTGGTACATTCGAACGCAATTGTAGAAGAACGTTTTTAATTTTTGTCTTTAAGTAAAATTGCGTCTTGATTTCTGTTTTCGGCTTCGCTGCACAGCCGGGTTGGACTTGCGATACAAGACTTCAATCGACTGGGAAGGATTAAGTTATTTGCTTATAGAAGGAGAGTTTGGTGGCTGGCATGTTGGTTGCTGTAAAAAATGTCATCTGTGAAAATGAATCAAAGCGATTTGCCTTTCGTCTTAGAAAGGGTATTTTTTTCCACTGATGTCTTCTTTTCAATCCTCATTTTACAGAAATGAATGCGAAGGAGAGAAGTCATGCAATCCATAGTGCTATCAACAGAGGACTTCAACTCGGAACCTCGATTCTGCTTTGATAAATAGTTGTAATGTGTATTTCAGTTTGCGGTGTCTTTGGTAAACCACTGTAATTTTATTTCTGCCCGTCTCTGAAGTGAACATCTTGGAACTCATCGTACTGTGAAATACTGGCATAAGCCTGTGAAAGGATTTGGTAAAAAAAAAAAAACCAAGAGCCAACAACCACAAGAGATGTGCAAGTTCTTTTCTCCAGATAATTTCCTTGCTCTTGAAGAAGTTGAAACCCTTGTGCATAAACGCGAGTTCTAAACAGCGAGATCATGTTCAACTCAAGTGCAGCCCAGACTCCTGTGCTCGAAAGCCTGGAAACGCTCGGTTTGAATTTTAACTTAATATTGTATTTATTTTACTTGTACAGAAACAAATGTTAATATCGGTTTTGTATTTAATCGTATCACGGACCTTGAACAGGACTGTAAGCCCCAGGGAACTGAATCGCGGGGAAAATACCGATCTAAAATTGTATTATAGTGCTGTACAAATTGTGAATAGGTATTCTGTGCGCCGAATTGCAAGCCTGAAAAGAAACCCAATAGATTATTATTATTATTACTATTATTATTATTATTATTATTATTATTATTATTGTTATTGTGTACAAGTGTACAATGTCTTTCGAACGTCGATTACATTAATTATGGTGGAGATTTATCGGAGAAATTAAATAGAATTATGCAATGCAAGTCTCAGTTCATAATAAAAGATACATTAATACTGTGTTTTTGTGTGGTTAGACGTTTAATGATTTTGAGTTACGTAATCGATTGTCACGCAACGCTTTGTGTCACGCAACGCTTTGCCCCGCTTAAGAGGCTTGCGTGACTACCAAAATAAAAGCTGTGATTCAACAAGGTCGAAAGCGTACCAGTAGATCATTGGAAACCCAATAATGACAGGAGTCCGGTAATGGACTCAAACCATGCCTCGACATCGCATAGAAAATCATGAACTTGGCATAGCGATTTAGAGGTCGTTAAGTTGGAAAATTTAATGGTCATTGAGAAAATTTAGAGTGAAAAATAGAAAAGAGTGCCTTTGCAATTTTCTCATCCTTTCGGGAGGAGAAAAACCAGGACGCCCTTTCCGATCAGTCGATTTGGCGTGAAATTCAAACGTTCTTTTGCCGCCGTCAAGAACCCGTCAATTTGTTCTCAAGCTCATTTGTGTGCATTGGGCTTCACAGTCGTTTCTTCTTTTTCTTAGCAGAAAGATCGTTCGGGAGACTGGGAACGAGCAAGAAAGTGCGACCGAGAACTGGTAGTGAGTGAGTGGCGCTAGCTGTCCTCCCGATGATACCCTGCGCCCCTCCTCATAAGTTAATTACAGTATTATAGTTCGTAGTATCGTGCGGGCGACTGGGGACGAGGCAGGTGTGCACACTACACGTGTAAAGACACCTGTCTCCGCTATGTTTTAATTTAATCTGGAATTTGTTTCGACAATATTGACTTACTAACCATCAATGTATCCTAAGCTTGTGGTAACTGGTATCGGCTGTTTGCAATGCAGCGAAGGGAATTCCCTAACTATTGGGCAAAGATCTTTTACTGTTTTCTATAGATCTTTCGCATCAGGTCTGCAATGACTGGAGAAGGCTGTTTAAGAGCTTTTTTAACGCCGGACTTTTTATAGCAAACTGACGTCTTCGTTTTATTTCGATCAGTCATTAAGAAAATTAAACGTTACTCCTGTCATCTTCCTTTTGACAGAAAACTTCTTTCAATTTTCATTCCGGCCGAAAAAGTGAAGTATGTCATGTCATAAATATATTCAAAAAAGACATCTGCCTTCTTTTGAAGAACGTAAACAGATTAGTAGCTGCCGGAGTAATCATATTGGGCAGGTGATCCAGTTGGTCGCGAGCAAACAAACTAACTAGTACCTCAGGTTCGTGTCAAACACACACTAATTTGCTACAGCACCTTACTGAAGTTTCACTCGATATCATGAAGAAATCACCTTGCGAATTGTTGCTNAGACATCTGCCTTCCTTTGAAGAGCGTAAACAGATTAGTAGCTGCCGGAGTAATCATTTTGGGCAGGTGATCCAGTTGGTCGCGAGCAAACAAACTAACTAGTACCTTAGGTTCGTGTCAAACACACGCTAATTTGCTACAGCACCTTACTGAAGTTTCACTCGATATCATGAAGAAATCACCTTGCGAATTATTGCTGCAGTACTACCCCAAAATCTCCGAAGTTGACGACCTTCGTTCGACGTTCATCGCTAATTGTGTCCTCAACGTTTTCTTAAGCTCCACTGCTATCTTGTTTAACACTGTAACACTACTTGCAATACGGAAAACCTCGTCGCTGCCAAAGACCTTGCGAACGTTGCTTGTGAGTCTTGCGGTTTCCGATATTTGTGTTGGACTATTGGGTCAGACTTTATACACCTCACTTCTGGTCAAGTGGCTGCAACTAAAGATTATCAATTGCGGTATCTACGTGGCTTTTGACGTATTGATGGGTCTATTTTCTATAGCTTCGTTCGTAGGCGTTGTGGCTGTCGGCGTAGACAGGTTCTTGGCAATTCACCTTCATCTGAGATATCACGAACTTGTGACTTACAAGCGTGTTGTTGCTGTGGTGATCTCAATCTGGCTGCTTAGTGCAACACTGCCTTTCATAGTGATGCTGGGGTTCAATTTTTTCTCTGTGGTTATTTCCATTTTTGGGGTTCTTTGTTTCGTCCTTACATTAGCAATTTACACCAAAATATATTCAGCCGTACGGCGACACAAGACGCAGATCCAGGCCCTGCGGGTAGGTCAAGTTGCACAAATCGGCGAAACTGCAAATTTTGCTGGCGTCGTTAAATCTGTCGTAGGTACATTTTACGTATATCTGGTTCTTTTGGTTTGTTATGTGCCTTATCTCATCTCCTTGGCCATTATCGAATTCAATGGCCCGAACATCGGTTTGAAGGGATTTTTTCTCTACTCATTTACCCTGGCATTCCTCAATTCATCTCTGAACCCTGTTATTTACTGCTGGAGATTGAGACACATCCGACAAGCCATCATGGACGTACTGCGTGACATGTCTGGCAATGAAAATCGTCCACACCCATTTACTATTCCCAGATCTTCGCGGGAAAATGATGATTGTATCCATTAGCCAATCAAATTAAATCAATCAATCGGTTTGTTGGTTGGTTGGTTGGTT